CTTGCACCGGCGAAGAAATCCCGCAAAATCTAGAGGACTTCACGAAAGCTCAAACACTTTTTAAATATACCAATCGATAGCTCATTCAATCCTCGTCGAAATGAGACTTGAACTGACTTTCTATGACATTCCTGTCAAGAACTAGAGCCTCCTTCCGAAAGTAAGTGAACTTTAAACACAAAGTTGTCGAATTTCATGTTGTTTTTCGACTAGAGCTGGGCAACTCAATTCAACAAGCGACCAACTCAACTCGATTCAATTCAATTCGTGTATGGAATCGAATTGAATGGAAAATTTTTTCAAAAATCATCGAATCGAGTTGAATTGAATCGAAAATTTTTACTAGGATCACTAAATTGAATTGAATTCATTCAATTGGAAAAAAATCAAGAAATTCTTGTTGCAAGATCAATATACTAATAAAATCAAAAAAGATTGAGTTATGCCTATAATTTATTTTATAAGTTTTCTTTAGGTCTTTTCTTCGAGGAATTTAAACAACATTGGCGTTTCGGTATATATCTGTCTATCACCTGCTAAGTCATATCGCTATTTTCTTCCTTTATCTCCTTAGTACATATATAAATTTATCTATCTACGCCCTCGCTGTACTGAAATGATATCTAGTATAAGGCATTTATCTTTTTTTTACAATATTTGATCTAACTATACGTTCTCTTTAGGTCATAGTTTCTGGTGTATAAATAGCCTTTTTCATTGTCTATTCATTTCGTATTTGTTATCTGATTCGAGATATTTTTATTAGTTTATCCTACTTGATAAATGGAATAAACTCTTTTTCATGTGATGAATAATAATGAAACACAATGAATTGAATTGAGTTGAAAAATGTTTTCGAACTGTACGAATCGAATCTAAAACAATTCTCAGGCTAGATGACTTGAGTTGAATTGAATTGAAAATTTTTTCAAATGAATCGAATCGAATTAATTCCAAAGAAAAAATCACACAAATTACAAGAATACAACAATACACCGATTATAAATTATAAAAACATAGTGTATTATTTTATTATTATGTACGGTGTATGGTATTAAAAATTTTATTTTCAACTGAAAATTACTGTTGAAATTCCGTTGGATTTTTGGCAATTGTCGAAGTTCATTGTAAATACGATAGTACGAACAAAATCATATCGATTTTCGACAATTGTCCAAACTGTTAGCGACTTTGCTCTGTATATTCGATAATACTGCAAAAATCCATCGAAATTTGGACTGGTGAAATTCCGGCTAGCGAAATTTTAGGATATCCAGAAATACATATTAAAAAATAACATCGAGTCAATGCGTAACTTCAGTTGTTGACCTGAATACAGGACTAAAACAGAAACAAAACAGTTGATATTTCATTAAAGATGTAGATGTTTGTTGAGAAAAAGAACAGCCATATTGAACAAACGAAAGTATTGGATTGAGAAGTTCAATTATTTTTTGCGTATTGAGAGAACATTTCTAAATTTTTTTCTTACAGCTCTGTAAACGTCCTTTTTCAATCATTTGTTTGTCAACGTGTACAACACTAAATTCTCTTTCGAATGGTATAAAATAAAAGGTTCATCTACTCGGGAAACGTCTAGAAAATTAGAAACAATTTTGACAGTATCTTTTTTTCTAACAAAGATAGAGGCCTGCGGTTTCTTCCATTGCAATCAGCATGCACAACTGCGTCAGAAAATGCGGATTTCTTCCCTCGTGTAAGCACATTTGTACGTGATATGTTCTATGTGGATTTACGCTTTTTAACCGTTACTTGAGGGAGCAATCAGTGTCATTCGAAGCTCAGTTAGGTAGGTTGCAAACGGCAGTTTTAGGAATATTTATTAATTACCAATGTATTCTTCCACTAAACGCATCAAGTTTTAGAAAAACGGCTGAAAAACAGGCGTACTTTCTTCGAGCACTCTTCATCGTTTCTCTTACCTTCTTGTTGGAAAATGATGCTATCAATATTTGCACACGTTGATGAATGACATATTGTTGCGCGTGTGTGTGATCGATAATTACAAAATAATAATTACTATAATCTATCGTGCAATCATAAAAGATAGGAAACAAAAGAGCCTTCGATAAACAGTATGTTTCAAAACGTGCACAATGATGTACAGGTGAAGGAAAGATAAAAATTAGTACTTATTAGATTACTCGCATTCTACCCCAACACGTACTTTAAAGCTGAGTATTTGCAAACAATAACTTTTTAACGAAGCGTATCAACTGATTTTATTGTACTATTTTTGAAATATAGGTGCTTCGTCTCCTACCGCATACACTAATCACGAGTGGTCGGTCCATTCATCAAGATCTGTCGCGAATAATCTGTGATTTTTCAGAAGGTATGTTAACAGTGTTTTTAACCGATAGTTTCCTGATAAGCATAAGTTCAAGTAAAATGTACGAACTGAATCTGATCTACGTGATTCAACAGACATTTCAATACCTGTCTCAATAACTAATTATACGCTCACACCTCTGTTTTTTTTTCATACACTGGAACGTATAGTTCCAAAGGTACATTTTGTGATAGATTATTCGCGACCGATATTGATAAATGTACCCGCCACTCGTTATTGATGTATGCGATACGAGACGAAGTACCGATATTTCAAAAAACTCGCTTTAAGGTTATTCAATTTCAAAAATATACCATAAATACATTAGGAAAAAAGGCAACATGTAAGTCAATGTCTTCTATTTTCGTTAGATAAGTAATAGAATGCAATAGATAAAACTTATTATTCAAAAAATAGAACAATAAAATCAGTTGATACGCTTCGTTAAAAAGTTATTGTTTGCAAATACTCAGGGCCTGTTTTTAGTACGCGTGTTTTTCAGCTTTTTTTCTGAAACTTGATGCATTGAGTGGAAGGCTACATTGGTAATTAATAAATATTCCTAAAACTGCCGTTTGCAATCTACTCAACTGAGCTTCGAATGACACTGATTGCTCCCTCAAGTAACGGTTAAAAAGCGTAAATCCACATAGAACATATCACGTACAAATGTGCTTGCACCCGCGAAGAAATCCCGCAAAACCTAGTGGACTTCACGAAAGCTCAAACACTTTTTAAATATACCAATCGATAGCTCATTCAATCCTCGTCGAAATGAGACTTGAACTGACTTTCTATGACATTCCTGTGAAGAACTAGAGCCTCCTTCCGAAAGTAAGTGAACTTTAAACATAACTTTCACTTCTCTCCACATTTTCGCTGTATCTATTCAACGAAAACTCATAGAAAGTCGGAGATGTCTCATTTTGAAAATTGAATGAGCTAGACAAGTGAAATAGACAAAGATTACGCTGCAGAAAGGGACACGGTCGGAAAACTGAATTAAACGCAAAAATAAAGTAAGCGGCCAAACAGACAAATATATATTAGTAATCTTTGTCAAGTCCTCTATCGATTGCTGAAAAGAATTTCTAGTTTACAGTTTTCAGGATGGAAAAGAGTTACTGTACATTTTATTAGCGAGTTTCCAAAGAGGTGCATCCAGTAAAGTACGTATGCGAAGAAAAGCGAAACTCCAATTCAGATGAAGTTTCAGGAAATGCTGAGCTATAGAGGATGCATGCAAACAGCTAGCGAAAAGTAGCGAAAATTTTCCTGCCCTGAGGTTTAATTTTTTCACAAAAACACTAGTTTTTGAAGGTATTTTCCATTTTTCTCGCCCCATAGGTGTTTTTATTCAGTGAAAATGACACATTCAATGAATCAGCGCAAGAAACGGCGTCGAATGATGTGCGATTAGTAAATTTTTCTGAGCAAAAAGTTGTTGGATCTAAGGAAACGCTGAACTCGAAGCGTAGAGTTACAACTTTAGCTAAGCATTTGATATTTGATATAGATGCAGTCCGAAAAAAGGTGTTTATAGACTTTCGGACTGTTTCTACAGCAAATGTATGCCTGGCCTATGGAAAAAAAGTCCGAACCAAACATACTCATTCAAAAGTCGCTTGTCCGAGTTGTTACACGGAGTACGAAAGAATTCCTCTGACGAGTGAACCTTCCCAGGTAATTAAAAGATTTTCTTCTTCAACCTAGTTTTACTAGGGTAAACCATGAATCTGATATTCGTTCCTGCCATTATTGAGCTTCTGAACTGGTCTTTGAAATTTGATCTTCGAAAACCCATCACAAATCTGCAAACTGAGAGATTCTGATGCAGTCAGTTCGTAGAACCTGCCGGATTTCCCATGTAGAAGAATTTTCTTCGCTCTTTGATAAGCTTCAAAAGAGCTACAAAAATTTTACTACATAGTACTGCATTTTGGAATTGAATTTGATTATGAAAGATGTAGTCAAGTCTCCTGTATCAAGTGGTGAAAACGGTAGTTTTATTTTTGATTCTTAAGTTATTCGGAACACACACGTCATTGTTTTAATGGACGTAGAGTGGTAAAATTCCATTCAAAAAGTTAGGTTCCAAAAATGGACTGTTTTGAGTTCGAAAATGAATTGAATAAAGCATCTTGCGACTTTTCGAAAGAACCCAGTTTCTCGGTGAAGAAAGCGTACTAACGTAAGACCTAAAAGAATTTTGTCACCCATACTTTTGTGCATTGAATAGAATGAGATAGATTTCAGCAATAAAAGATTTTCGTCATGTTTTGATCTATCTTGTAAGTTAAATGCTCGGCGACTCATGCAACGTCTCTTAACGGATGAGCTTTAATATTTTCGTCAATGGCTAATCTTGTTGTATTGGAACAGCTGTTACTTCTTTTTCATTGTAACGAAGATCAGACTTTGATTGAAAAAGACAATGAGAAAGAATTTTATTTTTACCGTTACATTTCTATAAACAACAAAAGTCAAAAAAGCAAGCGGGATTTTGATGATAACTAAGGAATAATGGAAAAATTTGTCTGCTGTTCTCGTTTTTTTTCTGAAGAATATCTATGGATTGGCCAAAGCACATATTTCTGTTGTTGTAAGTTCTCGGCTATAAATATATAACTCATCGATAATTCCTAGAAATACTCCCGGTGAACTTGTTGATGTAATACAACTAGGAGCTGTACCCGATGGACTTGCATTTCCAATTGTCACGTAAGGTTGTGTTGTATACACTGAAGTTGGAAATGATGCAAGTGATGATGAACTAAAAGAATTCAATGTACTGTTAATATATAATTTTAATCCATTACTGCTACTATATGAAACAACTATATGTGTCCATACGTTAACTGACAATAATGGTCCAGTTATAGCTGTTGTAGACGATGAATAACAACAGCTTGTGGTTGTAAATATTTGTGCAATTAAATAACCACCACTTGTTAAGCCGAGAAGATCAAAACATGCGTTATAGGTACCAGATGTTGTACCAGCTGCTGCAGTAGATATATGGACGAGTGTACCACCAACAACGCTTGTTGGTTTAACCCATAGAGCAATTGTAAATGGCTGACTGGCGGCGTATCCTGCTGTAGCTGTAAATCCTTGTGTTTGAAAATAGGACGTTGTTGCTGAAAATAAAATTCCTTGATTTACACGACCCGTTACACTTGTTAGTTGATTTCCATTCCCATTCTGATAGTTAATTCCATAATCATAATATGAACCACTATCAAATGGATAATAAGCTGTTAGTGTTGCATCATTTAATATTTGACAAGCGGTTTTAGCACCACTTGTTACTATTAGGTGATCAATATAACCGGAAAAATAATTACTTGAAACAGTCAAGCCAATAGTAGTAGAGCCACTTGTCCCTAAATACGGTCCTGAGCTTGTTCCACTTCCAGCTGTTGTTCCGTCAAGGACACCATTCAAATAAATTGTTTGTTGTAATGAACTTGAATCGTATACAAATGCTACATGATACCATTTACTAGTAACAAGTAATGTGGCTCCACTAATATCATCATTTTGAAAACCCATATGTAAATGTCCACTTTTAACACTTAAATCCAAACATTGATTAGTTGTTGTTGATGATGCACATTGCCCAAATATACCACGTTCACTAGTAACAGATGCCAGGTATATCCATCCTTCTATTGTAAAACTCTGATATGTTAAATTCATAAATTGTGTACTGACATAAACATAACTTGAACCAGTAAGATAAATAGCTTGTCCAAGGTATGCATATGTACTAGAATAAGAAGGTGATCCATAACCAAAACCAGTATAAATATTATTAACGTCATTGAAGGTTGAATCAAATAGCCAAAATGCTATTGTACTCGCATGAAACGATGTAAGAGATTTTAAACACGTAGTAGATGCACATGCATATGTCGTCGTTGTTGGGGCAGTTGTACTTGTTATTACTGTCAAAAAGGAAAGCAGGAAAAAATTATCTTTCAGTATATTTGGTTCAAGATTTATATCTGTAGTCCGTTCATATTTTAACCTATTTTTTTAGACTATTTTCAAAGGATTTTGAATACATCACTAATTTCTTCGAGCAAGAACGCACTATAAATATTTTAAAAAATTCTTCTTAGACATATTATATACATTACTTCTTGAAGTAGCAACAACAACCGGCGGAATAATAGCTATAGCACATATTACCATAAATAATCCAATACCAATCAAAATTTTATGTTTTAATGGTAATTTACTCCAAAAAGTCAGTAGTTTACTGAAAAATAAAAACAAATAAGTGTTAACAATAAACATGTTGTGCTACCTTACTTTGGGTGTTTGACTGGAATTTGTTTAACATTATGTAAATTCAATTTAATCTTTGTGGGTGTTTGAATACCCCTACTCGATGGTAATAGCTTTCCTGACGATGGTGGTGATGGTGGTATACCGTCCTAAGTAGCAATTATTCTTGTATAATAAATCTTAGCTTATATATATATATATATCTATGTATACGTACTGGAATCATACGAACTCTCGTGATTTCTGGCAATTTAGATACATTTAGTTGGCGAACTGCAGTCAGCATTTGATCAGGTTCGATTTTTAAAATATAAAATCTGTGATAAAAATGAAAAAGTCACTATGCGTTTAGAGTGGTTAACCCTAGTACGCCCAAGCCTTTTTTGCACTGTACGAGTAGTATATAGCTTTATATCATAATTATTTTAGTTTTACATCAGTTTTTTGACTTAAATATGCTATTAACATGTGCAATTTGGTAGAAAAAAATATCGGAATAACTATCTTTCTTTATTTTGAACAAGTAATACAGAAAACACGTACAGAAGAACGCGCAAAAGTGATTGATGATACTAGCTGATCTCGAATACTTCTCAACAATATATAACAAGAAAATGAAATAAGTGCAGTTCTGTACCTAAATCTCAATGAATCGTCTTGTTCTTAAATTGTTCAAGTTCAGTCCATTCTATATACGCGTTTGATTTATGAGTTAAGATTATATAATTGAAGCAGAAGATAATTCAGTGAAGTCTTGGTATAGAACTAAATTTGTCTCTCGTTCTTATTGTAGATTTACTGCAAGTTAAAAGACATGATCGGATGAATGACTTATAATGATTAAAAAAGGACAATGAACATCTTTCTAGATTCTACATTACCACATAAATTGTGAAAATACTGGGTGCTTTGAAAAATCACGAAACAATAAAATATCTCCGTTGTATTATCAAATTTTCGAGTGTGGGTCAAAAATGACCCACCTGGGC